ACCACCACCACCACCACCACCACCACTATTATTATTATTATTGTTGTCTTGACGGGTTATTTATTACTTCGACACTCCTGCACTTGGGAGAAGACATCAATCTTTTAGTTGTGTCATCTTGTCTAGCCTTTCTCATATTGTGATGAGGTTGAGGATGAATTGTAAGTTGTCCTCTCAATTTGATGACCTCATAAAGCAAACATATTTGCTCAACTATTTTCTCAATTTGGGGTTGGATGGACGTACCAATATCAATATGGGCATCCATGATATGCCCTTGTTTGTATGGATCAACCATGGTGGTGTGCTAGATAGAACCGTATGTCAAAGTTTACTTTATCGCTGAAGAAGTAATTAGCTTTTTGTAAGGTCCACACATATGATGTCAATTGATGAGGCTATAAAAATTACAAGGGATATTCTTGGATGAATTATTCCTAGAAATTCTTATACATCATTTATGATGAGTTTTATGACCTCCATTTCAAGACCACGTAAGCTTCCGCTTTGGCAAATCTTCTCCTAAGGGGGTATGAAACTCTTCTGGAATAAATACCTGCCCAAAATCCCCTAGGATGTTGATAGAGGACCCTCTAAAGACCAAGTTAGTACTAGAAATATTTGTGTAAAAGAAAGAAGAAAAAACAACATTAATAAAGATATTAATAAGTTTTTATGAAGGCTTGAAAAAAGTTAAGGAAGAATATCTTGATATGAGGGGAAAAGGCTCTGAATGTGTTTATATATTTGGATATGTCTCTCCTTTTCTGTATATTCTCATTTTCTTTTATATTATCTAATTTGAATTGTCCCATGCAACGTAGAAAAGTAATCTTGTATGATTAATATAATATTATCACATTACTCAGACCATTACATCTAATTAATGTAAATATAAATTGCATATTTAATGAGATTATAATAAGCATCATAATTATTAACCTAAACTCAAGATATCTCTCCTTAACTCGAGGAATGTCTAAACTCAAGATATCTCTCCTTAACTTGAGGAATGTTGGATACAACTCACACCCTAAACTTAGAAGGAATCAGATCTAGCTCGTGATTGCATTAAAGAATAATTAAAAATGTAATTACATCAAAAAATAATTAAAAAGAGGTGGTAATCATATCCCCAACCCAACATAGAGTTAATGATTGCATTAAAGAATAATTAAAAATGTAATTACATCAAAAAATAATTAAAAAGAGGTGGTAATCATATCCCCAACCCAACATAGAGTTAATGATTGCATTAAAGAATAATTAAAAATGTAATTACATCAAAAAATAATTAAAAAGAGGTGGTAATCATATCCCCAACCCAACATAGAGTTAATGATTGCATTAAAGAATAATTAAAAATGTAATTACATCAAAAAATAATTAAAAATAACCATGCCACACTCAACATTGAGGCGGTAATCATAGTAATCATATCCCCAATCCAACATAGAGTTAAGCACAAACATATCCAAGCACCATATAAAATAAAATACAAGCACATCTCTGACCTAACAGGAAGTTGGGCACAATTGTACCCTTGCCTAACATGGGATTGAGCTGAGCGCTATGAAGAACATAACCTCATTTGGAGACCTTTTTGTGTTTGCTTTTAAATTAGATGAGTTTGCAGAAACCATGGCCCATCAAAATCAATAACAACAAATGAACAAACACTGTAGATTGTTATCCTAATCAATGTGGGAAAACACGGAAAACGATTGTTTTCCGTGTTTTCCCACATACTTTTAGCTTTATACTTAACTAATATATTATAATATTTATATATACTTGATGATATACAATGTATAGATACAGCTGCACATGACTAGTGACCAGTGATCTGCCATGCTGACAGCATAAATAATCCTAGACTAGAAGAAAAAAAAACTTCCTAAGACGGAGAATCTTATCATTCTACGGTAAACTTCTGGCTTAAAAAGAACAGTATTAATTATATGCTTAGGTTACAAACCTTTTCCTCTTCCACTAACAAAATTCCATAACTTTCAAGCCTAGGTAACTGTACAATTGACTCTTTTCTGGCACGCAGTATTTGGTTAGGAATGTCGACAAGTCTGTTCATATATACAGTTGGGATAATCATTTGCCACTTGGTTTTCAGGTGCTTGGTGCCGACTAATCATCCTCCAGGTTCCAGCTCCATGTGGTTTTTTAGATCTCTACAAAGTTTAAAACGAACACTTAAAAACATGGATCTGGCAAATCAAGTATAGTTTAAACTCATTTGATTAGAAGTGACACTGGAAAGGGAAACTATGAACTCACATGCAGCGTGGTACACGACAATCTGTTTGTCTGCAAATTCTCGCATGTAGCTTCAACATGTACCATACCTTCTGACAGTGTTGACAGCCCCCAAAGGACCGAATGCTGCACTTCCTTGCATGGCAGAACAACCTTTTAATTTGGAGGCATTTTGGGTAAGAGCAGGGGTCACTACTTGTTGCTAGACAATGAGTGGCATGCATTAAAAGATTTAGCAGTTCCTTTTGTTGCTGTGCCACCAAATTAGAAAGATTTTGTTCCTTTGGCTGCGCCACCATATTAGCAAAATGTTAAACAGAGCATTGATATTCTAAATCCATTAAATGTCTGGCAATGCACGCACGCACACATGGTCCTACATCCCCTATGTATGCATGAGAAGAAAGAAAATCGAACATGAAGAACTTGAATCATTTGTATTAAAACAATGGCTTAAAGACCAGTAACATGTGAGGGAGATTCATCATGCCTGAAGTGCTTCTTGATGGGCATCTACATTCTCAGTTCCATAATTAGCTGCTGGAGAGCATTGATTCAACTTGTAGACATGCAAGGAACTGTCTTTCTTGTGATAGCACGCAGCACAGACATCTCTATCCAGTGTATCAGTATCCTGATGACAAATTTTGCACATTGTCCCAGCTGCTGGCAGTGTTGGATTATGAAGATTATGCAGGATCATCATTGATGAATGCTTGGCTCGGCGAACTGTATCAAACTGATAATGATTCTTCTGACAAAAACCCAAGAAAGTATGTCTATTATCGAAATGCCAGTTTTCTAAAATAGCATCATTATCCTCAGTATCGGACGGTATCCCCTTCACCATAACCTGAAAAGAAAAGAAAGAAATAGGTATCAATTGTCATCTTTGCAATTAAAAATATCATCCTGTAATTTTAGCAGGGATTCTCACCTTAAAGAGTAAATGTTTTTCCTTGTTATTTAAGGAGTGCGAGTCCTCCCCATTGAGGCTTTTCTCTACAACATGGCATCTGCAAATGTGTATGGAACTACAATTAATTTCCAAGTAATAATTCCACCATTTGGTCAGACAATAGTGGGAAACAATGTTTTAAGTAAAATGACATGCACCATCATGGTTTAAGGCGCCATTTACATTAATTACCTTTCACATAGCTGAAAATTTTTGCACTGTCGGCAAAACCACCGGCTTCCAGATAACATCACTTCATGACAATGAGTGCATACATGTTGTAAATGAACAACCATGAAGTCCTCCTTGCGACCACACATGGGACCACCCCTCAGCTGATCAAGGGAGAGAGGAAAAATAACAAAAATTAAAGAATAGCATGGTTAAGTCACAAAAAAGCAATCACTCCATTAGCTTCACCGTTGTATGTAGTGCAGGCTTAAATAATTTTAATTCTAAAGCTTCAGAATTCATAAAAGAAACAAGTCTCAAAACAAGTAACATGTAGGCCATGCATGTGCAAAATTATGCTGCTACCCCTTTTGCCTTCCTATAATTCCAGTTGCTTTGGAAAATAAAAGGTATAAAATCAAAAGCCAATAAAAATAGCTTAGATTTAGATGCTTGGGACGGTTGAGAAACTCTATGACGTGATCTGAAAAATTGAATTAATTCCCTAAGAAACCATATCACTAAAACTAATACCATGAACTATTAGTTTTATTATTTCAAGAGTCTAAACTATGCTTTATGATGAAATGATTTACCTTGATAGATATAGTTTCTGCACTACAAAGTTTTCCATGTGTAAGAGATAATTGAAACAATTAAATAAGAGATGGTTCTGCTATTTTGAAATACACTTAGCAGCTACTTAGTTAGATATAAGAAACAAACAAGTTTAAGCTCTCAGTTTTACCCATCAACTCCTAAAGTATTCATTGAAATTCTTAGTTGACTATGAAGTCACAAAGATAATGATAAACTTACGATGATTGCATGAACAGGAATATCTAACAAAACAAATAGAAACAAAAAAAAGCACTGAAGTTCAGTGGATTACATGATTTGTTACTAGAATAGCTTTGGTGTTACCACCAGAGGACTCTGTGTGCCCCATGGCTTTTAGAGTTCTTTTTGTCATTACTTTCTTCACCTTCCTCTCTGCATATACTCCAGTTTTCTGTTCAATGTTCTTGAGGATATCCTCCGCAGCATCATACCAATAGCAACCATCAAAGTAAGGCAAACGAGCTGCTGTTATCTTCGAGTAAAAATGTCCAGTAGGGACAAAGAAGTGGTCATATAAATTAGTACAATTGACCACAATATTTTCTTTGGCTGCTTTTCTTAACATCAAATGATACCTGCATATTTTAGCTTAGTTTGTCAAAACATTCACTTAAAAGGGAGAAGGGAAAAAAGTCAAACAAAGCAGTGGCCATGGGGATCTGAGCAAACAAAAATCAGTGGGCCCAAGTGAAGGATAACAAAAATCAGTGGGCCCAAGTCAAGGATAGGGTTATGTTGCTATAAAATGGTGAAACCAAAATAAAACTAGTGTGCCCCTATACAACACTGAGAGACACTTCAAACCACCACTACAAATGGAAATGCAAGTTAATGACAGTGCAGGTCTATGTGGTTCAATGATTTTCATATTGAACCTTGTGGATAAAAAAAGAGCAATTTAATTCTTAGCCTTCAGATTTTTGCATCATATTCATCCTTCCATCAAAAGCAGACTAATATTTGAAACATTATGTAAACGTGTTGCACACCTAATGGATGACATCAGTGCCATTAAGATCACATAAACTAGCTTAATGGCAAATTAGGATGCGAAAGGATAATATGATTGAAACGTAACCTATGCTCAAATGTCAAGGGAATTGCACTGCCATTGGACCTGAAAATGTACACGCACACAGACAGACAAACAGATGCACACATACAGACGCACGCACGCACTGAGAGAGAGAGAGAGAGAGACCATTGTCGCAGCTTATCAGACTTTGGAGTCTTCTGGTTCTCTGGGTGACAATATAAGATATAATCTTCTCCCTTTATAGGAGGACAGGCCCATAAATAGCACGTTGCAAAACCTCGTTTCTTGCAGTATTCAAGGTACCCTATCTGAGGATGCAAAAATAAGTAAAAATAAAAATGAGCCATTCCAGTTACTTAATAACAAATACCAAATAAGTAGTAGCTGGTGTGAAGTACCATACCAATATTTCATGGTAAACAAATGTACGAAGAGCTTCTCCAGTTGAAGTTTCTGTCTCCGGCCTGAAGTACTTGACAGAATCAAGATATGAAATATAAACACTGCGTTGGTTTGGCTGACTGCATTCTGAGCCAAACTCCTGGACATAAAGGCCAAAAAGGCAAACATCCACTCCTTCAATCCTCTGGAACAAAAGAATCACCTAAAAGGGAACAGAACCAGCAGTGAGGTTGTATCATAAACCACACAAACAGCCACAATACTAAAAGATGGAGAATTTACAGAAACCAAAATAAAGGAACACTTAACATCCTTGTGCTAATGGTTATCAATATTTGCACTTCTATGAGTTTTGGCAAATTAAGACATGAGGCATAAATTGGTAAAGACCCCTATATTTTGGGAAAGATCAAGGAAGGTCCTTGCTGTATAGTACAATTTTGGGATGCCATTATTATTTTTTGAGAGTTTAAAGAAGTTCCCAAATTGTCCAGAAGGAATTATCATGAAGAAATATTTAGGCATGTGGTTAACTGTTAACTGCAACCTCTTACCTTTGATCTGTAGGGAAATTCAGCAGGGTAGTTCTCACCATGGAAGATTTCCAGAAACTTCTCTTTCACTTTCAACTGTTTGTTAACAGATAGCACCACTCTTAGAACAAGATCTTCAGCTTCTGGAACCTGGGAACCAATAGAACATGCATATCATACTAGTTCCTAGGCTAACCTTGTAGAGCACGTATAAAAGAAACCCCATCCATTGTAAACTAAACAATAACAAAAAAATGCAAAAGAGAAAAATCAGACCTAAGCATGAACTGCCCATTACCACATAATTCTAGCAAATGTTTATCTTTACGTTTTTTTTATTTTCAAGAAAACAACATGCTTAAAAGGTCCATAACATTGATCATAATAAATTAGATTTTGAAGACAGATTTGAGTGAAAAGATATAATCATAAATATCTAGTCCTTTAGAACTGCTATTTTTGTATCCATTTTCTTTCTTTAACAACAAATTCCCATTCAAACCCACAAATGCTTGCTCTTTTATAAGCTTATATTATATGAAGGAATCAAATTAAATATGGGTCAAGTCATATTTAATTGCATTGCTTTCTATTCATATTCTGTGACCTCCAATGGACAACCAGTTCACAATTTATCAACTATATATGCACAACATGGCACATAAAAACACAGTATCCTTGTAAAAATTTGCATCTGAGAACTAACCTCGTCAATGTTCATTCCCATAAACTTTGCTCTTTCTTCTCTCTCTTGATTAAGACGCCTAAAAAGTCTTTCTTCTATGAAATCACTCAAGATGGTACGAGGCAGATCTTTTGCACCCAAAATAGCAGCCTTAGTTGATGGCATGTACTCCTCGCTTTTCATTTCTTTCAAGCAGCATTTGGGACAGATGTACTCAGCTTTTCCTTCCATATCTCTTTTATCGTTGAACAGGGCACATATCTGGTGTTGCCACCTTTTACATTTATCACACTCGACCCACTACAAGAGCACAGCAGACTTAAGAGCAGATCCCTTGTAAATGAACAGATTTAACAAAATAAACTTATTATGCTTAGCTTACAGGTTCATCAGTTGCCTCGTCATTCTTTCTTTTGTGGAGCTTTTCCTTGAGAATGGTAATTCCATAGAATGTGATCTTCCTAGGTGGAGAACTCTTAAAGCATAAGGAACAAAAGCAAGGCTGCGTGCCATTTTCATCTGATGAGGTGTAATAAATCACCCCCCGCTTGATACGAGCACCACAACACGAGCAATATAGAGGCACTGGGGAAAACCAAAGCTTATCTTCTGCACATAACTGGCATCGATTCTCGTTGACATGATTTATTATTTTGTCTTCTTCATTTGATTTTCTCTAAAAGAAGATGCACAAATGTGTTTAGTGTTCATCAAAAAGAGTATGAACACACAGCTACACACATTGGATATCCTCAAGTCAGCAGACAATATAAATAGATAATTGTAATAACAAAAAGAGAAAAAGAAGAGCAAATGTTGAACTCGAGGTAAGAAGCTACATGTTTTCTAGGAAATAACATATGAACACACAACTTCACACATTGGATACAGCCTCAAGCTTTTGCCCAAGTAGATCTGCAGCTACTTAGACTTCAGATCCAATCTACTTAACTTCCATGACATTTTTTTCCTGTTTGATTGATCAAATTTATAAAGGTTACACCAAAGCATTTATATCACTGGACTCCCTAGTTTCCATTCATATCAAAAGGCTCATAGTAACGGTGATTGGCACATGGTCTGTTGTTTATTTACATAACTTCACATTTTTAACACAACTATCTTCACTCTTAGAGGATTGACTTGAAGACACCAAGTAACATCTCTGCTCATTTGCAATAATGACCTAAGCTACAATGTAAAGGAAAAGAAACAACAAGAAAAACAAAGTGTGCAAAACAGTTGCGAGCACTCAGAAGCAATATGGTAACCTCTCATCATAATTCATGGCCCCATCTAGAAAACATCAGAAAGAAGATTCTGTAGCTAGACCCAGATAACTGGGAAAGGTTCAATTAAAAGGATATGTTCATTTGTTTCACTCTTTCTCTTCGGTGCATGTTTTTTTGCATTCAAATAACTCACTCATAGAGGTTAAGCAAGATTTCCGCATTAAGCCGATATGATATGTTAATCTTTCAATTTCAGCATCAAGATGAAACATCTACAGAAAAGATGTGCTTCTAGTCTCTCAAGATATATATATATATATATATATATATATATATATATATATATATATATATATATATATATATATATATATATATATATATATATATATATATATATATATATATAGTAATGCTGATGTATTCACCTGGCACATGGAATGCTCAAGACTGGACATGTGTCCTTCTATCTGTTCTGGTGTGAAAAAATCAATTAAGGAAGCACCTCTCATCTTTGGACTTTGTGATTTCATTCCATCTTCATGTTCAGCAACTGTTGCATTTAGCTCATGCTCTATAGCTGGTTTGGCTAAATGAAAGTTAGATATGACCTCGATCGCCTCCTTGTTAAAAGCAGCGCCTACCTCTTCAGAGACAATAGGCATACAATTATTCATCAATTGGTTGCAGTCATCTTTCATAACATCTGCCACTCCACTAGAACTTCTGGGGTCCATCTCTCCTGAACTACAACCAACAATGTGCTCCTTAAAAGGGGCAGAAACACTCTCACAAATCAATCTGGGATAACTATCTGCAGCTTTGCTCCTGATCTGATCAGAGCTAGTAGGATTTTCCATGGAATTCATCAGTGATTCATTACTCACCCCAAGAAACTCAGAATTAATAGATACAGGAGATTCAGGCAATTGCTTCAATGGCAGGGGTCCTCCAAGACCATCAGATTGAACCAAGAATGGAGCAACCACAGATGCGATTCCATCTCCAGATGAAAAGTAATAAGAATATTTTTCCATCTTCTGACACTTTGAAGGAGGCATTTTGTCTCCTGAACAGCAAGATCCATAATCACTAGAATCTGTATCAATAATCTCCCGTTTATGACCACCCTTCACATCTTTAGAGTTCTGACCAAGTTTATCAGTTTTACACAGAATTCGGCTAGGAGCACATACAAGACAATCAGTTTGGAGGCAGTTATCAAAATGCAATAAAAGTGGGCGAAGACTTTCACAATAGCACTTGCTATTGTCACACACTGTTGAATGGAAATGCTTAAGGAAAGAATCTAGGCAGTCCACCATTGGGATCGTTGATCTCTTGGAATTGACATAAGCAGCTAAGACCTTTTCTCTTGAAGAAAAAAACGGCTGGTTATTTAAATTTTCCACTATGCCTTCAGAGCTGAAAAGAGGTGCAGAACTTTTTAAAGGCACACGAACCCTGCGTGATTGTTCTGAAGGGAGCAGGAACTGAGAATGCATAGATGTATGTCCAGATGTTGGCCTGCAAAACTTATTTTGATCCTTTAAGTGACTTGGTACTTTGACCTCCAATGCCTTATTAAACTGTCCATATAACTGACAAGACTGCTGCTGGGTCTGTTCTAATATTTGTGCTCTAGATTCCAGTAGCTTATCAGGAGTTGAATTTGTTGTGCCAAACCTTGTGCTGGAACTTGGTAGAATGCTTGAGACTCCAGAGTAATCTGGGATCTGCAGAATTGAATTTGAATATTCCAAGCACTCATCTAAAGTGGACAAAGGCATGCCATAATGGTTCTCATTTTTTGTCAAGCTTCCAAGTTTCACCAAATTCAAGTTGCCTGACACAAATGGTTGAAACACTCATGAGCACAAAGTGATGACCAAAACATACAAAAGAACTAGCAAAACAATAGCAAGAGATCTGATAGGAATGCCACATAAAAGATAAACATAAGCATGTTGATACAAACAAAGAACGGGATGTATGCCAACCTAGAAAAAAAATCTCAGAGTAACAGGATGACAGGAAAGAATCAAACACACCAGGACATCACCAAATCACAAAGTTGGAAGCCCTATTCATGAAATGCCAGATTATAGTGATAAAAGCTTGTACCGTCTTGCAGATGTGATCATGTTGTATTAATATGACATGGGCAATGCAAGTCCATTTCTCCTTGATCCATTAAGAGAACCAATAACTAAAAGATATTTCACATTGGACTTGCCAAGAGCTAAACAAAAGTTTCGAACAGCATCATCAGCCACAATCAAACTTTAAGACCTCGAAGAAATAAGTAAAAAGAAAAGCAGAGTGACCAAGAATAACCACAGTTTAGAATAACCAAAGCAAGGAATAAAGAAAACATACTGAAAATTGCAAGTGTGATTTAGATTTTGCATAAACTGGTGTGCAAGCACAAGTTGTCTGTCATTCACCACTTATTCAATATTTATAAATTCCAATAAATGACTCACTATTACAGAATTGCATAAAGTAATACTATGTGCAGCAATTACCTCAACTAAGGTATAAAATATTCTTTTAAAAAACTAAGAGTTCTAAGTTGAAATGCAGATAAACATACTTTGATCAAAATGTTGCTGCTGAAAACTGTCTTTGAAGGCCTCAAGATGATATGGGTGATCTCCTTGAGAAAAAACTGGTCCACTGTCAAAAGTTCCAGTTTCGGGAAACCCATCACCACTAGAGATAGTGGTGATGGACGAATTTATATCAGGAGAGGAATCCATTTCATTACCGATCTGCTTTGAGGCCACAGTGAAAGCATTGTACATACTTGTGGTTCCTAGATTAAATTCATTGTTAAATAATCCTATGGAAAAGAAATTGTATTGTGAGACATAAAAGTAGAGTATCCATTTTCTCAGTAAGTACCATAAAAATGGATGGATTGCTCACCATTTTGGAAGCCAAAATGATCCTGTTTTTCAGCCCCCATCAGATTATAATTATTGTTGCCAATGATGGGGTAACTATTGAAAATAGGGTTTCCTTCATCTGAACTGCACCCCTGGGTCAAACCCAAAGTTTGCATTGCTGTCAATTTGGATCCTTGCTGACCACAATTTGCATCATTTTGTTGCTGTAGGATTAAACTTTGTAATCTATTTCTCAGAGTGTCTAGATTGATATATTCCTCCTACAAAGGAGCACAAATACAAATGATGTCACTTTAATGCTCTCAAAAAATAAGCAGATCAAGCCTAACTGATTCTTCATCTTTTCGAGTACTACAAATCCCACATTCAGTTTTTCCCTTCATAAGATCACTTTAGTACCAACCATAGAAAATTTCATATTCAAAGAGTAACTCAAAACAGCAAGAATTTTCAAAATAATCTAAAATGTGGCAACGTTAACAACAACAACCCATTTTTAAACCTCAACAAAACCAGAACCAAAAACAAACAGACATATAAAACCATCTTAACATCACTTAATCATAGAAAAGATAACAAGAAATTACCTCAGAAACAGCCTTAAAAAACAACTGGTTCTCTAACACGTTAACATAATCCCATCCTTGTAATTGCAATTGATAACTCCTATCCTTTTCGAGAATCTCAACACTAAAAAAAAAAAAAAATCAGCATCTCATGCAATAAACAAACACAAAATTAAATAAAAAACAAAATTAAAAATAAATACGAAACTTACATGTTGTTTCTAACTAAACCCCGAAAAAAATCAATGTTAGGTTCTTTCCGCCAATCATCCAAAAGACTACTCAGTGAACTTGAATTGGAAAAGCAATGAGCTTTAAGGTTATTAAAATCACTGCCTTCCAAATTATATCTCCTTGTCAACATCTTTAATTAATTAGGGTTTCCTCTCCTGCTGCAAATTCAAAAGAAACACATTATCAATTGCAAGCACCATCAATTCAGAAGAAAAAAAAAACAATAAAACCCTAATTTCGATAATGTCGGTCGGTGATTAAGAACCGGCTGTACAGCTCAGAAAAAGGTCAAATTAATTACCAGGAATCAGAGAAAAATTCAATCATGATCAATAAAAGAGAAAAACGATTGGAATTGAATAAGAGAGAAGATTCGGAGTTGAAAACCCTAGAAATTGAAAAGGCCGTGGTTGTCCGTACAGGGACACTTACCAGCGAGGGTTTTTGAAAAGGGAAAGCAGGTGCATGTGCGGGTCGGTGTTAGGGTTGTTTTCGTCATTTTAAAAGAAGCTGGTTTTTGTGTTAAAATAGATTAATAATGTCTCCCATCCCTCTTTATATTTAACGTCAGAAATAGAAAGAAAATCCGTTTTTTTTTTCTAGGTTTGGATTTTATTATCCTTGTCAGGTGAGGATTTTAAAATAATTTTTAATAATTATATACTGTTTTTTTTCTTTTTTATTTTAGAAATGTCCATGTAAAATATAATTATAACAAAAACTAAATACTACAAAAAAATCACTATAAATCAATAAATTTTTTATTATAAATTATAATAGCAATTTCATTTTTTACTTTTTATTTTTTTATTTTTTAACTATATTTCTTTGGTTTTTTTTCTTTTCACATTAAATGGGTAGTAACCGTGATATTAGAAAGGCGCATATAACACTTTTTGGTGGTCAAATATGGTCATCTGCCATCTCACTCAATGCTCAATTGTATTCTATTTCATATATTGTGTGTAGACAAATAATAATTGGATTACTGTTGATGACTAATTATTTGATCTTTTTCTTTTTTCTCTTTCCTAACAACTAAAGTACATGATTGTCCTTTTTATTTGTTGTTTGTCAAATTAGACATGGCTGCTAGATTCATACGCCAGGCCTAACAACTATGCCAAACCAATATACTAGGGTTTAGCAACCCCCATGCCTAGGTCTAACAATCATGTCAGACCCGTGCTAGAGTTTGTCAAACTCAAGCACTTGGATCCAAAAATTTAAAATTTTTTAAGAGTATGATTAGACTGCAAAAACGAACATTATCTCATTCAAACATGATTTTTTATTTATATACAATAAAATTTAACTGCAAACTCTTTTTTATTTGTGCATATTAATTTATAAATTTGTTATATTCGAAGAGAAAATAATAGGAAGACAATATTGAGTACTAAGTGATTTATTTCAAGTCTTAAAAAATAAACTTTCTTTTTTTATATAAACATTGTGGATGAAAATATTAATTTTATGTTTCTATCCAAGTGTTAGATAGTTTTTTAAAAGGTTTAATACTTTTTTTAAATTTGTAATGTTGTTACATAATCTAATTGTCAAAGTTTGTTACATTGAGAGTTTATTCTACATTATAACTATTAGTATATGCAAAAATTTAAAATATATAATCATAAAAGAAAACCTTTGAATTTTTTAATTAATACATTATATTGTAGGAAAAGAAAATATTCTGTATGTAAAATACTTGTTGTCTCTTTGACCATCTTAATTTATGCAATTTTGTAAATGATTTATTCACTAGAATTAGAAATTAAAAAAAAATGAGTGAATTTTAGGGATGCGTGTGGTTAATGTTCCAAAATAGAAGAAATAAATATATAAAAATATATTTGATTAAAAAGACAAAGTTGAAAATATAAAATAAATATGTTTTAAAAATAATTATATATGAATTAGTATATTTTAAAAAAAAAAATGCATGGGTCTGGCATAGTTGTTAAGCCCAGATGCTTAAATCATGCCAAACATTAACGCTTAAGTTATGCCAGACAAAGGTACTTGGGTTGGGTATGGCAACCATTCTACGCTCAAATGCCTTGGGTAAGGCAACTATTCTAAGTCTAAGCGTCTGAGTTAGGTAACCACGCGAGCCCTAAGCGTTTTAAGTCTGACGACAACTACACCAAGCCCATGCACCTTGGATTCGACATCCACATTATTGTTACTCAATTTTGGACCCCACGTGTTAGAGATGGTGTATACCTCTTTTGAATTGAGTGTAGGAGTTTAGCTCATGTTCGTTAGAAGATTGACAAAAATAGAGAGAAATATTTTTTTTTAACCTTGTTTAAGCTGTTTTCTGCTCTTTTTATCCTTCCCCTTTACTACCAAAATTGTCAGGTTTTTCTTAGGTTGATCAAGAGTCTTCATAATGTTAAATTTGTTCTTTCTTTATCTAGTTTTTAAGGATCGATAAATCCTTTATAATTTGCACTAAAAAATGGTTCTGCTACTATCGTAATTTTTTTTTGTTCTAACTTAGGCTCTGATTCTGACTTGATTTTGTATAATATCTGATCATCCTAGCTATATTCTATCACTCATGACATGTTGAAAAATTGACTTATACTTTTATTAAGTCCTAAGGATCATTTGTTCTCAGTGTAGATTCTCAATCAGATTTGGATACTTAGCATTGTCAAATCAAGAATCTTTTTAACCAACTAGATTACTATCAGATTTTATTCTTTAAAATTTTTTTATCTTACTTCAACTTATTTATCAAAGTTGTAGTCCTGGATGTGTAGATAATTTGGGGCTTTTGAATTGCTTGATTTCTATATCAGAAGCTCAAGATATTCCAATTTGAATATCTAATGTGAAAGTAAAGAATTCTGTCGCGGGAAGGATCCTGACTCGAGTTTTACACTAAAAAAACTCTATTTCTGTCACAAATTTTGTTGATTTGTTTTAGATCATACTCTCAGTCATATCAGGATTCTTAGTATTTTGCAATTTTTAAATTAGACCCGGAGATCCTTTTTGACCAACCAGATTATTGTCAGATTCTGTTATCCAAAATGATTTTATTTCACTTCGACTCTTCATCAAAGTTGTAGTTCTGGACGCATAGATAAATTTGGGCTTTCGAATTACTTAATTTTGATAATAGAAGCTTGAGATATTTTGGTTTGAATATCTAACATGAAGGTAGAGAATTCTACCACGGGAAGGATCCTTACCCCAATTTTGCACTAAAAAATCGATTTCCATCACAAATTTTGTTTATTTATTCTTAGATCATACTCTCAGTCATATCAAGATTCTCAGTATTTGTTAGTTTCTCAATTAGATCCAGAGATCCTTTTTGACTAACCAGATTACTACCAGATTCTATTCTTTAAAATGATTTCATCTCACTTCGACTTCTTTATCAAAGTTATAGTTCTGGACATATAGATAAATTTAGGCATTTAAATCTCTTGATTTCAATATCAAAAGCTCAAGATATTCCAATTTGAATATCTAACATGAAGGCAGAGAATTCTGCCGCGAGAAGGATCCCGACTCGAGTTTTTAACTAAAAAATCTATTTTTGTCACAAATTGTTTTGATTTGTTCTTAGATCACACTCTTAGTTATATTAGGATTCTCTCAATTAGACCCAGAGGTGTTTTTTGACCAACTAGATTACTGTCAGATTTTGTTCTCTAAAATGATTTTATCTCACTTCGACTCCTTCATCAAAGTTGTAGTTCTAAACACGTTGATAAATTTGGGCTTTTGAATTACTTAATTTTGATATCAGAAGCTCAAGATATTCCAATTTGAATTTCTAATATGAAGGCAAAGAATTCTACCGCGGGAAGGATTTAGCCCAAGTTCGCGGGATTGATTCGAAGGATTTTTTTTTTTACCAAAGACTGAATCAAAAGGTGCTAAAATAAGGGATTGAATTGAAGAAGAATATTGAAAGCTGGAGAGGGGGGCTAGATCATCATAAATGATAGGATTTTTACCACACTAAATAAGGAAAATAAGACTTTGCCGTTGCACCCTCCATCTTATTTCTTTCTTTTTTTTCTCTACAAATTCCTGTTGTTTTTCCTTTATCATCACGCCTAATTTTTGGAGTTGCAACCACGTTTTTATTGCCTCATTTCAAAGGGAGCAGTTGGCCCTATAAAAGAATAGAAAGAAGCCACACCATTCTCTAAAAAAATTAGAAAGAAATCATTGTTGATCATATAATTAGAATCAAATATTCTGGTTTTCTATTTTTGCTCACCCAATATCACACCCTAAAGTTAATGTAATATATCTTTTCTAAATAGAGCTGCATGTTAGTCTATATAAGCCTCTTCTACTGAGGGAATAAAGGGGAGAGAACAAAGAACGGGAGAGGGACAACAAAAAAAAAAAACAAGAAAGACGCATTTGCTCCATTTTTTTATGTAAATAAAAACTACAGAAATAGAAAAAGAAAAGACAGGAATTAGTAAAGAGAGTGACGGAGACACAGAGTAAAGAAGGAGGCAATAAACAGACCCAAACACAGAACAAAAGAAGAAGGACGGACACAGACCGAGCAACCATCACTCTTTCAACGCCAGCCTAGTTTCTTCATCTCCAGATTTGTTTTCTATTCAACTGTTGCATGCTTTCTTTTTTTGTTGTGTTTGCACTGTCAGTATGGTCTCTTTCCATTTGTGTTGTATGTGTCTGAACTATTCAAGTGAATTAGTTCACTTGAACAGCAGCTCTCCATTCATAAAAGAGGGTTGTGCCTCTTTTATGTCCAGCGGGGTCACTTGCTTAGGCAAGTGACCCCACCAGACCTCCCATTGTCTTCTTTTTTTTTCTTTCAAAAATAAAATAAAAGGAAAGAGATTTATGATTTTTTTGGCATATTTATTTAAAGATCTGAATTTTTTTTTATGTTGTAAAAAATATCAGTCCCGTGTTTAGAATACCTAGTTTTTTTCGCACTATGACAAATATACATATATATCAAAAAATATTTTCTTATGTGTTGCATACGACCAATACCATAACATGTTTTGAACACTTTTTTTATACAAAAAATATTGGAAGTTTTTTTTAAAAAAATGAGTTTTCGCATGTATTTCTTAAACACAAAAAAAAATTATTTTCTTGTATTTCTGGATTTTACAACATGTTTATAAAACTTCAAAGGGTATTGGTCAATATTTCAAAAAAATATAAAAATTTTATTTTAGGGAGAATTCATCTATTATTCACTGTTACTATTTGAATAAAGAAATCCTTAAAGGACGAATATCCAAAATATTATTGGGAATAATTTATTATTATTCACTGTTAATATTTGGATAAAGAAACCCTGAGTGGTAAATATTAAAAATAAATTTAGAAATAATAAATCCGCACACATCCTTTAAAGAAGCCTTGATTATAATCGAGGACATTTCAATTTT